CCTCACTGACAAGCCTCCTGAGCTTGTCAAAGTCGGCTTTCCTGAAGTCAAGGACTTGCGCGTTGCTGACCGACTTGCCAGCTTTTCGGTGGATGGTGAAGGTGATCAGCTCGTGGTCGCTGTCACCCAGCTTCCCATCGATCACTAGGTCGCCGACTAGGTCATCCCCAGTAGCCAGTACTAGGTCGAGCAGCGCTTTGCCTCTCATTGGCCCAGAGACTTCTTGAGTCAGGTAGAGGTCATCCACGCACGAGAGGAAGCTCTGCAACCGCTCAGATTTTGCTGAGTGATCCTCCCACGAGATGTCCGGGTAATTGAAGTCACCCATGACAGCCGTGGTCCTGGAGCAAGCTGCCTCAGCCAGTTCCTGGGCAAACTCCTGGTCAAGCTCAGGACTTTGGGTGGGAGGTCTGTAATAGACCTCGATCAGAATCGATATATCCCACGAACCATTTATTTATTTATTTTTTTTTTTTTACAGCACCGATTCTGAAAAGCACCTCTCTCAGCCTCTCCTGTGCTGGCCACTGTAATTGAATGAACCCTAAATATGAGAAGTAAATACATGGGTGCTTTCCAAATTGGTACAAAATCAGTTGGTGGGTAAAACAGTGGTCTGCAGGTTGGGACTTTTGAGTTTTCTTGCTCAGATGGGCTTAAGTTATTTTGCCACTCTTGTGCCTGTTTCTCCAGTTACAAAATGGCAACAACGATGCCCTTTTCCTATGGGTATGAAACATTTTTTTGTGAATATTGTCCTTTGGAATCCTTGGGTGAAGTGCTCATTTTTACTAAATTTTTCTTTCTTTTTCTTTTTTGTTTCCCAGGGCATTTTGAGGTTTCACACATGAATGAGTTGGCTAGGGTGTAGTCCTTGATAGACTAGCTTTACACAAACAGTAATTTGTCTTTTTATAGTGGCGTCTGTGTCCAGCTGTAAAGCTGAAAGTATCTAATCAGTGGAGTTGTTGTCAATTTTATTTTTAATGGCTGGGTCATCATCTCTATTGAACCACATGCAGTGCTTGAATTTCGTTTGTCTTTTGCTTCTTTCAGTATCGTTCCATAAATCATCGTGTGGATTCCAAATCCCTGTGGCTTTATCGGTGGTATTATTCAAGAATTTGCCAGTGGTGAGAATTTGGTATTTTGTTCTTTTTGTCTTTACAGTGGGTTTTACAGTTACTCTTATTTTTCTTGCATGCATGGCTAACAAGTGCTGCTGCGTCCTAAAATGCACTCTCTGTTGGAAAGCAAATGTATGAAGAAATGTGAGAGGAATGGAAGGTGACAACTACTGCAAGCTCTAATTATGAGGGAGCTGCATTGATTTTCATGGATCTGTTAGCATGACTAAAGCCTATTTGTGTTAGTTTAAGGTTTATAGGATTATGCACTGGAGATTTCTAAACTTATTTTAATACTGTTTAATTCATTAGCAGTGCATTATGTGCCAAAGCTTATTAGTCTAATCCCAGTGGCAGCATTTAAAGAAGGAAAAATGTACCTCCTGCCTTCCACACTCATATATCCCAAGATATGGTATTTGATGCAAGCATTTTTTTATTCAAAGTGCAGACAATAGGATGCTATAATCAAGTGGTGCTGTACATTATAGTGCTTTTTAGATATTGCTCACTTTACTTGATAAACTTCATATTAGTGCAAACGTTCTAATCTTTCTAATAAATCCGCTTGACTTTATGATAAATGTCTGCTTTCTCTTATTCCTATGTTGTTCTTGTTTCCTTACAGGATTTTGGGCTTAACCATTACTATAATCCTGGGTCTGGCTTTCATTGAAACCCCTTCTTCACTTACTGTCACCTCTGATATACGATACCGGAGCCCAGCTTGGGAACCTCCATGTGGCCTGACAGAAAGTATTGAGCTGCTTTGTTTCCTTATCTTTATAGCTGATGTATCTGTGAAGGTGAGCTAAGCCTTGTTCTCTGTCATATAGAAGCATGCATACTTGTATAGTCTGCTTGGCATAGTCACTGGTTGCATCTACATGAGGTGTTAGTGTGCATTTGTTTAGTACTTGTTTATGCGAGTACCCAAGTTACTGTGCAATAGTCCCAGTGAATGTTTTTTTTGTGACACAACTGCACAGTAGCCTAATGCTACTGTGCACTAGTGTTGTGTCACTCACGTTTTTTGTCACACGATGCTACTGCACAGTAGTACCAGGTATTTCCTTTGTATAAAGGGCTGTTCCCAAGGTGTGAGGCAGTATCTATGGACTCTTACAATTTTTGCCTCCTGTCCCTCCCACCCTCCTTTATATCATGGGTCATACTTGCAAACAAAGTAGTAAAATCCAATACCCTTTAAAAGAGCATTGGTGTTGTTTTCCTTTTCAGTCTGTTCCTCCCCACCTACCCCCTTCCACCATTCAGCTTGTGATGTTTTAACAGATATTCAATTTTGTCTCTTGCAGAGTTATTTAATTGGGTGGGAAGAATTTCGGAAAACTAAATGGCTGATGGCTTATATCCTGGCACTGGTAGTCTCGCTGACTGACTGGACTGTATCAATGAGCTTTTCCTGTAGAGAAGTAAGAATTATCACCCCTCCCTTCACCCCTTATTGCCTTAAGTTAGAACACTATATCAAGTTCTAGCTTCCACGTTTTGAACGAGATGTTATGATTTGGGAGAGGGTACAGAAAAGAGCCTGTCCACTGGCTTGAGGGCTAGAGAAAATGTATTGGAGACTATTGGAGAGACTTCAGTAACTCAAAAATTTTTTTAGATTATCAGAAAGAAGACTGAGACAACTTGATTAGAGTATGCGCTTTTCAAAGAAAGAAAATACTTGTGCAAAAGGCTATTTAATAACGCAGAGGAAGGCATAATGAAAATTAGTGAATGGTAGCTGAAGCCAGGCAAATTCCTACTTTTTAACATTGATTTAACCACTTGAAATGGTGGTTTCTTCATCCCTCAGTGTCTACAGCTCAAGCCTGGAGAATATCTTTCCATTTTCCTCCAAACACCAGCTCCAGGATCTAACGAGGGAGTAAATGGGTGAAATGCCATTGCTTATGTTAGGCAGAAGATCAGACTAGATAATCCCTTCTGGCCTTAAACACCATGAAATATGTTTTAGGTCAGGGGTTTTGGCCACTGGTTATAAAGATTCATTTTATGATGCATCTTTGATTGTGTTGATCTGTGTTTTTTCTTAATTTTTTTTTTTTTTCCTGGCAAAAATATGAAAAACTAGTGTGAAACTGCGGGAAAAACTAGACTGCTCAGGGCCTGCTCCCTGTGACTTTGTGAGGGTTAATGTCCATTGTTTTGCTTTTGCAGACTGTGAGAATAAGACGAATTCTCCGACCTTTCTTCCTCCTTCAGAATTCCTCCATGATGAAAAAAACGCTAAAAAGCATCAACAGCACACTGCCAGAAATGGCAAGGTAGGTAACAGCTGAATAGTTGGAAATGTCTTTAGAGAGTCTTATTATTCTGCAAATGATGAACCAGGATAGCTGCTTTGAAAGAGTTTGGCTGTGTAACTGATTAGCTATTGACCTGATGAAAATTAAATTCCTTGTGGAACTTAGGGCTGGAAAAATTAGCCATGTAGTATTTTGAACATTAATCTGATGATCATTTGAGCTGCTTCGACTGTATTAGCCATGCAGCTTCCAATACTTCCCTTCCATGAAGTTGAGGTGTTGCGAGAGTGGCGTGGATCTTTTACTCAGACTTAAGAGGTCTGATACGAAGAAGTGCCTACCTGTGTTGTAAATTGTTCTGTGCTGTCATTTTAATGAGATACGTGACTGATTTTGTGGACGTGACAGTGTTTTGTCTCATGTGCAGTACTTAGCACTCATAGGGTGTGTCTAGAAAAGCGCGGTTGTGTGGTATGTGGTGCTGCAAACATGTTTGCAGCATACCACACAGTCCGGTGTTCTCCGCGCAAGGGTGCGCTGCCCGAGTGTGTGTTGCACCTTTTATTTTTCTGGGGTTTTTTTAACCCCTGGATAGCTGCAGCACAAGGTGCACTGCTGCTGTTTGTCCCCAGGGAGCCAAATGTCCACATACGTCTGGATGCACCCACACAAGGCTTTCTTATATGGAAAGCACCCTGTTCTCGAACACTCAGAATTATCCTGCCTGAGGTGGAACTCATTAAAAGATTTGCCAGAGACCCGGAGGGAGTATGTCATAGTTATAAGTGGAACACAGGTGGTGATGCTTCCCAGTCCTGAGCTCAAATTAATAGATTGTTTTTGCCCCCATAGACATTTTCGAAGGGTATCGTAATCACTTTCATCCTTGGAGAACAGTAGCAGTACAGTTATCAAATCACATTTTCTTTAACTTGAGTTCAAAATAAGGGAAGCGAGTCCAACCATGGAGCCTAATACCTTTTGAAATAGAATCTGCATGTGTGTATACAGGTGAATTTGCTAGTTTCACCTGAGGCCTTTTTGACTGGCACTGGTAAGTTTCATTAAGAATCAAAGATTTACACAACCACACCCATCTTCTGTCCAAAAGATTCCTTAAAGTTCCTTGTGGTGGTATAGTCACAGTCTTCAATATTAATTGATTGAAAACTATGATCCTGATTCAGAAAAATGCTTGGATTCATATTTTTCTCATTGTCCTCAGCCAGAGGGATTCAAGGACTGATTTCAGTGACACTGAAACGTGCTGAACAGTTGTGAGGTGGTGCACATTTCTGAATTGAGGCCTGTCTGATTTGTTTTTGTTATGTGGATATAACACCATTTAAAAAAATCCTATTGCTTTTTTTAAAGGACTGCATCCTGCTGTATTTTAAGCCAAAGGATTTATGTCAACATATATATTTTCTTTTTGATAGTGTTGTTCTGCTACTAGCTGTCCACCTGTCTCTCTTTACCATGTTTGGCATGTTGCTGTTTGCTCGAACAAAGGTAACTAAACATTTGTGCTATGATTGATCCCACTGCTGTGTGTTTTTTCTTGTCTGTCCCCCCCTGTTGGCTGTTTGTTTGTGATAGTTGTTTAAGCCAGAGAAACTCAATTTCTCCAAGAAAAGATCATTTTGTCATCTTTGTCAGAAATGTCAGGATGACTTTTAAGTGTTGTATGGCGGAGGGTGTTTTTAGAAAACTTAAAAAAAACCCAACAACGTGAACGTATGTTACATTCTTTGTAAGAGGACATTGGGAGGCCACTCCTAAACCAGTTTTATAATGTCTTCTTTCTCCATCTTGAAACTTCATATTTCTAATATCAAATTTCATTGTTCTTTCTGAGCTATGGCTGCACTTATGTCTCCACACTATGTCTAGAGTATTCCACTGTTACTAGTCCCTACTGCATTTGTTTACCCTTTTTTTTGTCTAGTTCTGAAACTTGGTTGACTTGGTGGTAAAAATTGGCTCCTTCCTAATTTATGCTGCAGCTTCTGATGTCACCATTACTGTGTATGTGTGAGGAAGAAACTAGCTAAGACAAGATCCTAATCACATCCCTCTCTCTCCAGCATTGCTGTTGAAAACTAATATTTTTCCCTCTCAGGCATGTACTATTGTTGTATTTTTAATTTCCTCCTCCTCAATTCTTTCTTTTACAGCTTGTATCTTCAAATCCACTATTCCTCACTAATGCTCTTGCTCATATCCTCAGCCATACCTCAGTCGCAGTCATTCTTACCTTCTTGCTTCTGGCCTTGTTTTTCTCTCCTTTATTCTAGCTTGATTCTTTCTCTGTTTACTCAAACTTATTTGAAGTGCTGCAGTTAAAATCATGTTTTTTTCCTTATTGCTGTGACTATAGACCCTTCTCTTGCATCACTTTATTCATTTTCTGTTTCTTCCTGTGTTATGCTCAACTCTTTGTCCTCATCTTGCAGGCCGTCTCATGCTCACCCTCATTTATTCCGTGTTTTTCCTAATAGCACTGTTCCTCTCCTCTGCTTTTGAGACTTGTACCTTCATTCCTGCTCCAGTCTACACATGGGACAGCCTCAGGTGAATTTGCTAGGTTCACCTGAGGCCTTTTTGACTTGCACTGGTAAGTTAAATTAAGAATCAAGGACTTATGCAAACACACCCATCTTCTGTCCAAAAGATTCCTTAAGGGTCCTTGTGGTGATATAGTCATAGTCTTAAGGGTCCTTGTGGTGGTATAGTATTAAATAATAGAAAACTATGATCCTGAATCAAGAAAATGCTTAGACGCATGTTCTTCTCATTGACCTCAGTCTAAGGGATTGAAGGACTGATTTCAGTGACACTGCAGCATCTGCTGAACAGTCGTGAGCTTTCCCTGTGGATAAACAACTTCCCTTCTCTAAATCCCCTGCTTCTTTTCCCAGGAACTCTTTACCTTCCTCTACTACTAGTAATCCTCTCACATCTTCCCTTCCATTTCCTCTTGTGCTGTTTCTTTGTTTGCCTTGTCAAATAGAGATTATGCATTCTCTGCAAGCAGTTAAGTGCATTTATCTACCTTAAAATGTGTAGGCTAGGTTAATAATGGATAACTCATTAGCCATAGATTTTAAAGTTGCTTAAAAGATTAACTATAATAGTGTGTTTAAAAAAATAAAAAATAATTCCGTTGCTTCCTATGCATAAGCTATGTTTTCCCAGTGTAGTATGTCTTTTATGAGGGGGGGGCAGAGAAGGAAGTGACATGGTTTATACTGTTAAAGCTTGCAACCTCATCTCAATTCACCACATAGTAAGGTGGAGGGAAAAAAAATATTCATGAGAATACTCAAGCCCTGCTTGCAAATATCCTGTTTGATGGAACCTTTCTGTCAATTGAGGGAACTGAAAGTGTGGTTTGAGTGAAATACTATGAACAGAACCCATCTTCCAATCAAGTTCAGGTAGTCTATAGATGTCAAGTCTTATTGCCGGAGAGCATGTCTGTTTCCTTTCCAGTGGTGCTGTACATGCTTTGTTGGTTGTTCTGACCTATTTGTGTAGGTCATGCTATTGTGCCAGTTACCAAGATCTGTAATTAGGTCTGTAATAACAAGTTAAAGCTTAAGCTGGGCATCTTGATATTTTATTTTTAACTAGGCCAAAAACCAATTTGGGTGAATGTATCCAGAAAGTTCTAACTAATTAAAATATTTGTCAAATATTTGCATTTTTTAATTACATTTTCCCTTGCATGGAAAGTAGTATAACTAGTATCTTGCACATGCTTGATTTGATTGATTGAATGATTTTTTTTTTTTGGCAGCATATGAGGAGGCCTAAAATGCTATTATGTACATTTCAGATCTCTTCTGCTTTTATCATACTTATAAAGTTCTGTTAGTTCTGATGCACCAACCTGTGCTTGGAATAGAATGTTCTTCCCCTCCCAGTGTCCCTTTCAGAATTGCTTTAAATTGCTACGTTACCTGTTTCAAGGTGTTATCTTCCCTCTTAAACCTTATAGATGGTAGCCAGACTTAAATCCTGTATTGAGACTTCTCTGCCTTGCTGCCTTTTTAACGGTGTAGTCTTTCTTATGTTCTGATGATTGCTAAGCAATCAGATTTCTGAAGGCACTAAAGCAGCGTAAGTGATTGTTGTGCAACCTTGTTTTATAGATTGCGTAGACCTCCTGAATTAGCCTCTCAGATCTCTTCCACCTTGTCTTGTATATAAATCAGGCAAGGATATGTGATAGTTAGATGTAACAAATTATTTTAAACTGATTTTTTTCCTTGACAATGCAGATTTGTTTGTTTGTATTTCCAAAGTACTGCTTTGGCAATAATTTGGTGGTAATCTCTATGACTAGGATGGTCAGCAGGATAAGGAATGGCTGGGATATTTCCGGAATTTGCCAGATGCATTGACTTCATTACTGGTGCTGCTGACTACTGCAAATAACCCTGATGGTGAGCATCTCTTAATAGCAGAATAAAACTTTGATGAAATGGATTTGATTTCTCTCCTTAATTTGGTCTGCCTCTTTTTTTGATTATCCTGAATACTGTTATCTGAAAAAAATAATACCCCCAGTAGTTAGAGGCAAGTTCTGCATGGACCTGGTCATAAATTACATTACTTTTATACCATTAAAAGCTTCTCCCTGTGTTCTCCCACATTGAAACAATTTTTTGGAGCAGATCCTTGACTGACAAACTGATAGATTCATTGATTTCTACAGAACCATACCAGTGTGCACCAGTTGAGGATCTCCCCCATTGTCTTCATTAAGTCAGATCTGCACTTTAAATATATTTTTGTTTTTAAGCACAGAACTCTTAACCTTACTTTTATCTTGCAATTTTTTGTGCAGTGATGATTCCCGCATATTCTAAGAACCGAGCCTACTCTATCTTCTTCGTACTCTTTACCGTGTTAGGTAAGTCACCTCTTTTCTTCAGTTGTAGGGCTAATTTGCTATAAGTCTCCTCTAACAAGGTGGTATAGTGGGGAGCTGCTTGCTTTTCTTTCTCTGGGAATTTATAACCACAAATATCCTGTTTTCTGCAAGGATTTTTGTGGGTAGTATCTTTTATAGGACCAACTGCATGGTTGGGATAAACTTAGTCAAGCTGTCAGGTCCAATGCATTCTTCAGGTCTGTCCTTTTTTTTGGTTCTCATTTGAACCTGCATATAGGGGGTTTAGATTTTGGTGGTTAAAAAAATTAATTGTATGTTAAATTTTTAGATGCAGTGGAAGCAATATGCACCTCTTGGTTTACTTTAAAATCCATCTATTAAGATCTTAAGATGGAATGTTCTATTAAATTGAAAAGTGTTCATTAGTTTTTGTGCAGGGGAAAAATCTTTTAAACTGATGGGTTTTTTTGGAAGCTTTAAGACTTTACTAGAATATCAAAAAGAAGTTAAATAATTAGCAATGCTGTATGTCCAAATAATTAAATATGTGACTTGGAAACATGATATAGTTCAAAGAAACTTGAGCTATAAGTCGGTAGGTATCCCTGAATATCTCTCTCTCTTTAAAGGAAACTTGTTTCTGATGAACTTGCTGACAGCAATAATATATAATCAGTTTCGAGGATATCTTCTTGTGAGTAAAACTTTCATTTGTTTTCTGGTATGCACTCACTCATAAATTTACAGCTTCTCAACATCTGAGTTTCCCATACACAGGAGAAGCAGCAAGATTCTCTTTATTGTAGATACAGTTATACTATATAAAGTTGCTTTAGATTGCTATAGCTTATTCCTACAATAGAAGAGGAATAAGGTAGATATTAGTATAAAGAATCCCTATATTGTTATATTTGTGTTCACTATAATTGCTGCAGTGAATTTCTGACCCTTGACCCAAAATAGTTAAATTTGTACAAAAAACATGTGTGAACCAGGAATGCGTTTGTATATATTATCTAGAACAAAGAACCCTTATCTCAACTGTGGCCCTTTAGAATTTAGATGCCACACACATGTTGTTATTACTGTGATATTTAACAAACATTGTTTACAGATTTTGTCTGCATGGTAGAGCCTATGAAAATTTCAATAAAGCAGAAATGGTGACTGCTTGCTATGTATGTTGCCACATCCTCTGCTTACAGAGAGCCTTTTTCTCCTCACTTGATATTTTCTGCATTGACCTTATGGCACGGGGAGCTTTGGAAGAAAATTTGAGGTTTCTTACTGCAGAGCCCAAGTCTAGCTCCAAGACTAGGCCCTGAGTCTGAGCCTCCATCCAGGTTTTCAACAAAGGCTGTCACTTCAACCCAGCTGTGAAGTAACTGAATATGATAGCCATATCATTCCATTTTGTGGCATTGGCTATAGAAATTACTGTATCTTAACTAGGCTAGTCTTGATGATGATCTTGACCCTACTGTGGAGCTGATGTAACTTGAAGTGCAAACTGCTGACTTACTGTAGAACTTGAGTCCTGTGGAAATGACTAGCTAGTGAATTACAAGGAGATATTAATTTGGTTTATTGCTTATTCTGAATTCTTTTCTTCAGCGTTGGTGCATTTGGGGTTAAGTCATGCTACTTCATGAGAAGCAGGCACAGCCATGGATATCTAGATTGAAATAAAATGCTATGTGAAGAATCTGTCCAATGCAATGTTTTATTATTCTTATCACTGTATAGTGCTGTTCACTGCTTTAAACAATGTGTGTGTTGTTTCCCCTCTGGCTTTGTCTAAGGGAGAGTTTATATACACTTGTTCCTTAAAATGAATATGTTCCTCAATGTTCATACTGGGGAAGCTTGATTTAAAGTGTACCTTGTATGTGAAGCAGTAAATGGAAAGATTATTGGTAACCCTTAGTCCCAGACATGAAAGCAACATCCATAGCAACTAAACTTAGAGTAAGCTTTATCTTATTCCAAAGTGCCTTGTGTGTGTTGCTTGTTTTGCCTTCAATTGGAGAAGAAGGTGGGATCTGTTTATCATAGAAGGGCTGTGAGAAATGCATTGGAGATGAAGAATCACGACCTGGTGGCTACAGAAAGTTAATAGAAACTAAAACTGCATCACATTTCATTTCCTGCTTAAGGGGCAGAATTGAACCGTATGAGAGCAGTCATGATTGGAGGCAGCAATACCTAGGAATGAAAATTTAAATTAAATGAAAGGCTGTCTTAGCCACATCTAATAAAGAGGCACTTTCCCAATATAGATACTTTGTAGGGACTTCCACTTTAGTTCCAGAGAGAAACAGTAGAGGAGGTGGCTGGGGGAAATAAAAAAGGCAGAAAAAATGCAGCCAGAGATACTGGGAACTGGACTTAATCATTACTAGTGAGTAATTTCTTTTTAATTCTCTCGACTCTTCACGACCACCACAATACCTCTGAATATTGCATATGAATAACTGTTGCTCTCTGTGGTATCTTCACTGTAGAAATCTGTCCAGTCCTCACTCCTCAGGAGGCGGTTGGGAATCCGGGCTGCATTTGAAGTGCTTTGTTCCCTGAAAGAGACTCCTGCCCATACACATGAGTGAGTAAAGGATGGTACAGTAGATACCACTCTGGGAACACAGAGCAACATTTGTCTTTCAGCTGTGTCTTCAACCCCCTTTTTGGGGAGAAGCAGATTACTGTCCACCTCTTCATATTCTATGGGCTTTTCCTTGCCTCTCCTAATAATATTCAGATTTGTGTCACTTGAACACCGTTCTCAGGGTCTCACTTATACTTGTGACAGGGTTAGGGGTGGAGTAGGGTGGGAGACCTAGATTTTGTTTTCACTTCTAATTTCTATTTCTAATTGGAACTGCTTTAAAATAAGAGTGAGACTGCAGTTAGGCTCACCAGTTAGTTGCCTGCCTTTGTGAGAGTAGAAGAGACTGACATAGCTTTAAGATATAAAAGATAACAAGTTTCCTTTTTCTTTTCTTTAAAATGGATTGTGCGTCAATGCTGAGACCTTGCTCCGGGTGCTGAAGAAAGTGGACGTGGATTTTGGCTGTAAACATGTCATCTTGAGGGTAGGAATTGGTTCTTGACAAGCATAGATAAGAACATAAACAGAAGTTCCCGCTTGGTGTCCCTGGAAACTGACATCTTCTATTTAGACATGCGTCTAGTCTGAGAGTGGTAGCTTCAGCACAGTCTTACACTATCGTGCAAATATCCCTGCTGAGAGCGAGAGCCGAGGTCAGGATCTGTGTCCATTTTAGTTCTTGGGCTTGTTGCTGAGATGCAGGATGCTCATGGAAACTGCCCAATCTGCTATCAAAATTGTCATGAACACCAGGCTTATTTTACTTAAGGGTTAATGAACAGCTACTAGATTGAAAAGTTTTTTTGTTCATTACTAGCAAAGACTTTTGCACTAGAGACCTGAGGATGAAAGGCTTTCTTTCTCAATACCAAAGCCATTAAGCATTCAGTCAATGCTCAGTTTTATTCTAGCTTGTTGTCATTGAGCAATGAAAAAATTCACTTTAATCTTTTTAAAACTGCAGCTCTTAATTTGAAATATTTAGGTTTTTATAATGAGTGAGGGGAAAGAGAGTAGCATTCTCAAAATGCAGCAATCTGCAGCACCTGGTGCTCTGCCACCTGAGTAAATGGTTCTCATTGTGAACCTCTTGTTTTATGTTAGGGTTGTTCTCTCTTTGACTATATTGGGTTCAGAGGCAGGAGAGAGCAAAGATCACCAAAGGGAAATGAAGGGATTCTTCCAGGATCAGATATCTCATTTGACCTCTTTTAGCTCTAGGATTGGTTAAGACCTAGATGTGCTAGAATGCTGCTTTCTACAGTATTTCCTTTAGTATTTGGAAATGCCAGTGAAGGAAAACCCAGAGATCAGGTGCTCATGGAACATGGTTATATTTAGCTGTGCCACTAATTTGCATAACAAACACCCACGGGAGGCTTTAGTTTAGCAATCTTGATTTTTGTTCAGGTTGCTTGCACTTGTAGGAGGTGTCTGGTAATCCCAGGCTTTAGGACTTCTTTTTTTCTTTCTTACTGGGACCAAAGAGAAATTTCTTCCCTATACCTACCCCTTCCCCTTTACCTGCTCAAACGCATTATTTGCCTTCAAGAGTTGTTTTCTTCTCTGAAGCCTTGGACATTGGTTTGGGTGTGCTGGTGCTCCTAGTGGTACTGACACACAACACAAACCAAAACCATAGATGAAAATGATAGAGGTGTACCAGTATATTGGTTGCATATCGGATCAACACTGATAAAAGGAAAATTAACATTATTGGCTATCGGCTTTTCTTGCCTGGTGTAGCTGTGTAATGTTGCCAATTAAATCAGGGGCAGGCAAAATCCGGCCCACAAGCACCGTGGGCAAAATCCAGCCCACCAGGCAATTTTATCTGGCCTGTGGGGCTCCTAAAAAATTTAGAAAATTAATATTTATCTGCCTCTGGCTGCCTGTCAAAGATGACAGGAGCCAGGGTCAGTAGGACTCATGGGGAGCTGGCAATAAAACTAAACAGCCACAGCAGCAAGTCCAGGCTGACCTTGCTCTGCCCTGCCCTCCCTTCAGCCTCCCATACCCTGAGCCCAGCCGGAAGCCTCTGCCTAGCAGAGGCTTTTAGAGGTTTCTGGCCTGGGACTGTTCCTGCCTCCCCATGCTGAGGGGAAATTCAGATAAGGGCTAGGGGAGGCAGGGAAGGACTGCAGGCGATTGCCCTAGTCCTCAGGGCCGGCTGGGCCGGCTCCTACAGTACCAGCGCTGCAGCTGGGAACCATGTGATGCTGGAGTGCAGCGGGGGAGGGGAGAGAGGGTGAGTGGGGAAATGGCTGCAGCAGGTGGAGGGAAGGGGCAGCGAGTGGGTGCACGGAGCATAGAGTCAGGCGAGTGTGCGGGGCCCACACCAGGGCTAGCACCAGCGGGCCAGCAGGAGTGCAGGGCCAGGCTCCCAGGGGCTCTATGGAGCCATGCTCGCTCCCTCCTTCTGATTTGAGCAGCGCAGCCTGGGCCCCATGCTTCTGCCATCCTGCTCTGCCGGTGCTGGCCCTGGTGCACCAGTGTGGGCCCTGCACTCCTGCTTGGCTGTTGCTGCGCTCTGCATGCTTGCTTGCTGCCTCTTTCCCCTGCCTGTCGCAGCCATTTCCCAGCTGTCTTCCCCACCCCCTGCCTGCTGCACTCCGGCATCATGTGGTTTCCAGTTGCAGCGCTGGGACCACAGGAGCAGCTGGTATGTGGTGCTGGAGCAGTGTGGGGTGGGGAGTGACAGGAGAAGGGTAGCAGATAGGGGGCAAGTGGCAGTGAGTGGGAGCTAGTTGGGTGGGGAATGGTAGGAGAAGGATGGCAGACAGGGGGGCAAGTGGCAGTGAGTGGGAGCATGGGGTCCACGCCAGTACCCCGGGGCCAGGAGCAGCAGGAGCATGGAGCCCAGCTGGCAGGGGTTCTGCCTGCCACAGGCTGAGGGGTGGGGTGCAGGCTGTGGGCAAACCTTCCCCCTCCATGCAAGTCACAACCCTCCCCAGCCACCCTCCCCTCCCACACAGCCTCCCACAAAACTCATACCCACCCACACCCCATAACTATCCACCCCCCCACCCCCACAACTCATTTACCCACAAACATACACCTATGCACCCATCGACAATATACAAGAGTAAGCTTCATTTTAAGCTTTTATACTGTCGCCTCTGTGTACATGACACACACATGTAAATCAGGACAAAAATATTTTTTGAAATGAAATTAATTAAAGTTGTAGCACAAGTTTGATTTTTATAATATAATTTGGTATTTTTCTGGTTCAGAGATGGCAAAACCCCTTGCTGAAAGGAGTAATTCTGGGCGGCGAGGGGAGGGACTTATGATGGCAAAGGTCAGGGGTGATGAGGTAGGACTTCCAGTTCCACAATGGTGATCAGGGGGTGGGGCACCTGTCAAGGGGCGGGGTACCCATGCAGCCCTCAATGGCTTTCTAAAACTCAGTTAGTGGCCCACTGCCTGAAATAATTGCCCGTCCCTGGATAAAATGCTGCAAGCCATGTGCATACACATGGCCTGGAATGCAGCTGAGCAGCATAGAAAGCAACATCCTGCTGGTAAGTCTGTGAAGAGGAAGAGGCATGGAGGCACAGATCGAGGCCCCCATGGTGCGGGAGGGAGCGAGGCAGGAGTAGGGGCCAGGGGCAGGTGCTGCCTAGCCAGGACAGTGAATGGGACCCCGGGGCTGGGAGCAGGGTAGAGCTGCAGGCGGCTTGTCCAGGGGGTGCGGTGGTGGGGGAAGTGAGGGCGGATCCCTGCTGCTGTGCGCACCCCTGGGGGATGTATGGGGCGCATGTGCCCTCTAGATTTGTGCGCAGGCAGAGGTGGACTTGGGCCCAGGGGCTGCGCCAGCCTCTTCCTGGTGGTGGGGCTGGGTCAGGGCAAGGAGTGGGGCAGGCAGTGGTGACAGTGGTGGTGCTGTGAGGGGTGTCTGTGGGGGAATAAAGGTGAATTTTGGGATAGCCATAGCCCCCCTCAGCGCCACTTCTGCTTGGAGTACTCTGCTCTGCTGCCTTTCCCTGGGGAGCCTTGTGCTGGCTGGCTGCATGTCCCCTGCCCATCCCGCACCAGGGTCTTGGGGGGCCTATAGCCACCCCAAAATTCACCTTAAACCTCCCGTAGCCACCCCTTCCAATGCCACTGCCTCCCACCCCGCGCAGCTGAGCCCTCCTGATCTGAGCCCAGCCCTGGCCCAACCCCCCCACCAGGAAGGGGTTGCTGTGGCCCCTGGCCCCAAGCCTGCAGTGAGCTGCCTGCCTCCACCCAACGCACAAGTCCGGGGGGCACATGCCCCCCATGCCTCCCCCAGAGGTGTGCACAGCAATGGGGGCCACCCTCCCCCAGCCCTCTTGCGCCCCCTGGATGAGCTGCCTGGGGCTTCATCTTACTCCTGACCCTGGGGTCCCATTCACCACCCTGGCTGGGCAGTGCTTGCTGCTGCCCCTACCTCACACCCTCCTTCCCTCACTGTGGGGGCCTGGATTTGTGGCTGCCCCCCCCAAGTTACTGCCAGGACGCTGCTCTCCATGCTGCCCAACTGCATTCCTGTAAATCAGCTATTGTATCAGTATCAGCTGATACGGCTGATTTTAATAATAGGCTATTGGTATTGGCCAAGAATATCTTTATTGGTGCACCCCAGAGCTCCTACGTGTCCACTAGTTCCTTTTCTGTGTAGATTATGCAAGCTGTCACTAGCTCGAAGTGAGATTGGGACCCTATTAGGTTTAAGCAAGAACCAGCATATACTAAGAGAGTTGCTGTTCGAACAGTATGGAGTCTAATGGAAGGACGTTGAGATGCATTACTCAAAGATAGAGTGGACATCAAAGCAGTGTCATCTTCAGTCTTGATTTTGTTTTGTATGCTGTTCATACTGCCTCTCTGACCATATAGTAAGAGGTGTCTACCATGTCTGCAGATCCAGATACTGATCTGAATATTTCTTTTGCATGTAAAGACACTCAAGACGTGCCCTCATGGACTACTGTCAGCTGTCCAGTTTCAGAAACTCTTCGAAGAACTTGACAAAGACTCTGTTAAACAGGTATGTGACTTAGCAACTATTTATATAACACTACGAATGTCTTTATGATTTACTTGAGCTATACAGACATGAAATTGGGGGAAAAAAATTATTTATGGGACTTGGGAAGGGTCATTGATTTCACTGATTGTTCATTGTCTAATTCATAAATGGTTCTCATTGGGACAGTTTCTTTTCTGAGATACCAGACAAGGTTCTTTGGGTAAATGTGATATTTTTTATTAGACCAACTAAATAGTTGGACATTCTTTACAAGCTTTTGGGCACAAATACCCTTCTTCAGGCCTAGAGAGAATCTGCTGGTGTTTGTGCTCTTCTGGGTGGAATAGAAACTTAAGCTAAGATGCAAAATGCAGGTCTGTGAAAGTGCAAATGTGTGGCAAGGAAGATCAGAGGGGATGAGAGAGCAGCTTTTACAGCATTTCAGTTCGGAAGGTAATACACTTGATCTTAGCCCACAAGACTAAAACCATCCCAAAAACACAAACAAACATTCATGAGTATCAATTGTGAGGAATTTTTAAACGATTTGCTTAAGCAGAGTGGGTTTAATTTTTCTTTTAGTAGAAGATATGGCTAGTAACAAGGAAACTTGAAGATGAGTTGTATAGACACTGGATTTACCCAAAAGTTCACCTGTAAGTTAATTATTTCATCTTTATAAGTGCTGGAAAGTCAAACTGCTGTACATATTTTTTTCAAGTTATTTGACTGTTATAAGAATTAGATTTTTTTTTTTTTTTTTTTTAAGTAAGATAAAGTTTGCATTATGTTGAACAACATTTATGCAGTCACATCCCAGTCCCTCAGATCAGCTTTGGCTCTTTACAGAGGACCAGTATTGCAAATTGCAGTTATGATTTCCATGCAGAATTACTAGAGGAGGAGCAGGTAGAATATAATCTTCTTAAACCCTTTTTTTTTTTTTTTCTTTCTTTCAAAGTATCATGGATGAGATTAATGAAAAGGCTAAGTAGGGCAAATGAACTTGTGAATAAGTGAAGCACTTAGAAGTATTCTTACAGGAGACACTCCCATTCTAGAGCAGTTCATTGTCTCCATCTGTTTGCCTCTGGAGGCAAAGATGATGACTATTTGTTTGAAGTCTTGCTTCCCAGCCCTTGAAAGAAAGCACAGAACTTCTTTTTTGGCACCAGTGAAACAAGATCTTGAAGCATGGCTTCATTTGTTGGGCATAAAGGGCACTGACAGACATGGTGGGGGAAAAAACCCAACACTTTATCGGAAGAAGAA